CTAAAATGGGCTGTACCCTTTCAGGATCAGGGCGACAGCCGTCACGATTAACTAGCACGCCGAGATAGCGAATCTCGGACATGCAAATCTTTGACTTCTTACGATTTATCGTAAGGCCTGCCTCGTTGAGTCTTTTTAAAATCAACGTGAGCCACTTCACATGGTCGGCAAATGTCTCGGTGGCGATGATCAAGTCATCTAAATACGCAAAAGCAAAAGGTTCCATTTCTGGCGTGATAATTTTATCCGCCAGCATTTGAAAAGTAGCAGGGCCTCCGGCCAAGCCATATGGCATTCGCACGAATTCGAACAGGCCCATACCAGGAACCGTGAAGGCCGTAATCGGTACCGACCTCTCCGTGAGAGGTATTTGTCAAAAGGCTCCAGAGCAATCTAGAGCACTGATGTACTTTGCGTGTTGAATTTTGCGCAAAATAACATCCATAAAGGGCAAGGGGTATGCCGAAATTTTCGACACTGCATTGACTTTTCTGTAGTCAACGCAGAATCGATACGAGCCATCGGGCTTTAGAGTCATAACGACTGGACTTGACCACTCGCTCATGGATCTCCGGATGACTCCCATCTTTAGCATTTTGTGCACTTGAGCGTGCATCTCGTCCTCTATCTTCTTAGATACTGGGTAGTACTTTTGTTTTATGGGGCGCGTGCTGGTGAGGTCTATGTCATGCGCGATCTATCCTGTGCAGCCTAACTGTTCACCGGAGGGCTCCGGGAGCAACTCGTGCATGACATTTTCTATCTCTGCTCTTTGCTCGTCTGTGGGATCTTCGATCCCCAGCGAGGCCAAGGCCGTTGCCTCCTCAGACTTCTCTGACGAGAGAACTGCGGGCACGCCTTCTTCGCAGCCATCAAATATCAGCTTATTTGTTTTTGGACACAGATAAGCCGAAAAGGCGCGTTTGAAGTCGGCACCAAGGGTGCACTCTGTGTCGACTTCTTTTAGAATGAGAGCATTGATAACATGAGTCACCCCTCCGATCGTGAAGGGTAACTTTACGCTACCGACAATGGGCACGTAATGACCATCTACCGCTCTTGCCCCAGGCCCACGTACCGAAGTACACGCCTATTTAAGGCTGCAGCCATTGAAATGGCGCTCGGGCCGAGGACGGTACGGGAAGCTCCGGTATCCCAGAGACTTCTAAACTTATAGTCGCCAACATTTACTGTCAGCCACCACCTAGGTGACTTATCGATCAGGGCGCTTGAGACAGTACCTCCATCGCCGGCTGGCTGCACGTCGGAAGGGCTAACCGGGGCTAGCATTGGGTCGCCCACCGTGTTGCACAGCGCCTGCGCTACTCCTGTCACGCCACTGACTTCAAAGGTCCGGGTGATAGGGGGAGCCATCTGGACCTCACTTACTGGCTCCCGCTGGCGTTTTTTGGTCCTTCATGATTTGTCTGCTTGGGCGAGCATTCTGGACAGGTAAACTTAGTGTAGCCTGGCCAACTGCACTCCCAGCAGAAAACTTTGTCGGCATCCGGACCAGATTCCTTATCTTTGCTTTTATCCGATTTGGGAGCGACCTTCAGAGCACGACTGCCCGATGGCCGTCCCCCACCCCTCCAGCCGGCTCGGCCGCGGCCACGGTAATTGCCTCGAGGAGTGTCACCATTGGAGCCGTTCCGCGATTTCTCTGTCGTTGCCTCTAATTTTTCGCCAGAGCTCTTGCCTTTTGCCGGGGGAGTCGGAGGCCTGTTGAGGCCAAACTCCTTGGTTTTCTTCTCAAAAAATTTCGACATTAGCTTTTCCAGATCGGCTTCGTGGGCTGGGGAGGCCTTGTCATTCAAAGACGACAGGTTCACTGGCCTGGCCTTAGCGGATTTGGTCCGTGGCTTATAAGCTGCTTCGGGCCACATGCTTTGGTCTGCCGCAGGCGGTGGCTTCCACTGTCCCTGTTCATCGTCTTCGGCCTCTTGGGCACGGGTCAGTAGCAGCTGCACGTCAGTGAGATTGTCCCTGAAGCATTTTAACTTCTTCTTGAGTGGAGGGAGCATATTCTCGATGATGAGGTTGATTTGGTCCCGAATGTCCCAAGGCGGATCCATTCTTCTTAGTATGGTGAGTAGCGAGACTGCGTATTCCAGTACAGGCTCATCGGCGCCCTGGGTGCGCAAGTGGGCCTCCACTGTCATGGTCCTTCTATTTTTCTTGGACTTGCTGTAAGCGGTGAGAGCCGCTTCTTTAAAATCGGCGAATGTGGACCACGCAGGCCTCATGGCACGATACCAAAAGAGAGCTGACTTCTCGAATAAGGGGGTCATAGAATCGAGTAGCTCCTCGTCCGCTACTTTATCTAATCGCTTGTTGTCCTCAATCCTCTCTAGGAACTCCTCTATACTAAGGCCTTCGCCTCCGGAGAATTTGATTTTCCATTCTCTAACTGTTTTTCCTAGATGTTTGCTAGGAAGAAAGCGAGACGAAGAGTTGAATGTCGTGGCCTCTATGCCATTAGCAGGCGTGCCTCTTAGCCCTTGCTGTGTCGGCGGCACTGGTGTAGCGCTGGGCAAGTCCCCCCTCCCCCAGCACGAGCTTACGGGAGTGAGCGAGCTTGCGTAAGAGGGCCCAGGGACGCTAGAAGGGGCCGACGAAAAGTTTGGCGACGGCTGTGATCTAGTCGCCGATGAAGGTTTAGTCGTCGAATGAAAGATCGGCGCTTAAGGATCGAGAGACAACGGCATGTTATATCTCTCCGAGCCGTTGAGCTGGTTTGATACATCGTAATAGTTTAATTCGAATGTATCCGCGAATTGAACATTTTTATTTTGGTAGGCATCTAATCTAGCTTGCTCTGCAGCTTGTTGTCGGGTTGTGGCCACTACTTGTTTTAACTGCTTCTGCAGCTCTTTATTGAGTGCGGCTTCACTCTCTTTTTCTTTTTGTAGCCTGGCTAGGTTAGCTTGTAACCCAGCAGCTAGGTTTTTGTAGTAAGTGGTCAATGCCTTTAAATTCTCTCTTTCGATATCTTGAGCTTCTATATGCCTCTGGGCCTCAGCCTCTTTCCGCCAAGTTCTGTTCAACTCGCGCGCGATGGCCGGGGAGGCATATTCTACTGCACCGTTTGGCAACCCTATTCGGACTGTCTTGCTGTGTTCTGTTAAAGATGTCGTCATCGCATGCGTGTAAGTCGGTACATATGTCGAACCCGGCGCGCCTGTCCTAAAGATCACTTTTTGCGCGCTGTGTGATGCTGCGATTGCCGGGTCGGCCGAAGCATTGTGCTCGTACAAGCCGATAGTCTGTCTTATCATTGATTCTTGTTGCTGGATCATATCTGTTACGTTGCGCGTCGCATCCGCGCCTAACGTAAGTGACATATCGTCTTGTATGCCTGTCGGCGAACTCGTCCGGATATTCTCTCGGGCGCTATTGCCCGTCTCGAGCTTTGAACTTTCAAAAGGCTCGAGGAGTTCATTCGCCTTTATGGCCGCGCGCAAATCCGCGCGAACTTCTTTTGGCAGGGCCTCTGACTCGAAGAATATACGGGTGAAGTCTTCGCGTCTTTCGTATGCCATATTTTCATCCTGGTTTTCGATCGTTACAAAATCTTCTGCGGTATAATCGCCGTTCAATCTACGATACAAGCGGTTTGCGCGCTCAAATAGTGTACCGTTTGTGTGTAGTTCCAGTTGAGTTAGCATACAATCCACGTCCGTGCTAGAAAGGTCTTTTATCCACTTGCAAATTTTTTCGTCAATTTGTTCTTTAAATATTGTTAATTCGCTCAGCGACCAATTGGAGGCCATTATTATAAAATATAGTTATGCTATTTGGAACAAATAAACAAAGCAGAAGATGACAAAAAAAAGGACGAAAAAGGCAATGCCAAAATGACGTGGATTTTATAAGTCAACTAGACTACACGGTACAGTCAGTATAACAAAAAAAATTAACGCGCAGGAAATTTTATACTTAAACGCACTCGTAACAACGACAACAGTAGAGAACGAAGGAGAGGAAAAAAAAGAAAATGACAACAAGTTGCTTTTAGAAACGGGCTCTCTCTCTTACCTTACACTTCGACGTTGTCGGCTGCTGCAGGCTGCTGTATAATATAATGTGAATTCAAATATAGTATAGGTATATAAATTGTGTACATGCATGCGTGGGAAGAGAGAGACATAACGAATGAATTAAATTCGTTATAACATTTATCTAAAAACAATTAGGATAATAATGGTTTTAACTATTAATTAATTATTAAAAAAAAAGCTTTGAGAAATACTGAAAAAATCAGAGTTAATTACAAGAAATATAATTAATAACTTTCGTTCAAGCCATTCTTAAATTGTCTAACGCAAAGTTGAGCGCATTCAACAATTATACATACAAGACTCGCAAAGAAAATAAACCAATAAATACAGGAAGATAAATTTCGCAATTTTTCAAGAGACTTGCAAGCAAATGTGCTTCCTTTAATTTAAAAAAAATTAGCAATAATAAGAATAAATAAAATAATAGTACTGATGGCAGGATGCACATGTGCGCTGTAGATCTCTACTTTCTAAACATGCGCGCAATCTGGCTACTCCGGATGACGCGATCGTAAAATCGCTTTGATTTTCTCCAGCATCCGAAAATTGCCAGATGCGCGAGCCGAAAACTGCTGTTCATAGGAAAAATTGTCTTTATTCAGCTGTACGCAGTTTTTCATCTTGATTTACGAGCTAAGTGTGTGGTCGGTATTTTTTTGTCTAATATTTTTTTATATATTTTTTTTTCTTTTTTTTTTGAGCCGCCGTTAGAGCGCAGTGAGAATAGAAAAAAATTGACTAGACGTAACATATAAAATGAAATCAAATGTACTACTTTTAAATAATTTACTTAAACTATTATATACATTGTATTGGAGAACATAAATCAGTAAGAAATCACAAGTTAAATCGAAGCACATGAATGCATTAAAATATACTATATAGCCTGAACTGATACAGCTCAGTAAACACTGTCTTGTAATAAGGGTCAGAAAAGAACAATGTAAATCTACAATGTAGCACACAATATTTTGTTAGTTTTGATTAAATACAACATATTGTAATTATGAAGTACAATTTGTTAAATTTTGTTTACCTAAAAAATAATTATATAAACTTACTGTGCATTGTGGATCTACTGTGTATAGTGCCACATAGGCTGATTTTTTGGTATTCATGCCGCAGGTCCGCTACCACAAACTTTAATAAATTCCTACGTTAATAGGAAAATATACCGCAAACGAAAATTCATTTGAGAAATAATATTAAATTGTAGCTTATTGAATTGTATTTTACTGAATCAGGGTATATACATATAACTTTTTAATAAAATTATTAAGGTAAAGAATAGCCGAAATAATTATCACCATTGTTATATTGAATAAAGTTTTATTTAATATATTTATTTAGTTTCTCATTTTTGTTAAGGAGTTTCATCGCTGCTTCCATCTAAATCTACCTGGAATGAGAAAAATATATTTAAGTATATTAAGTAAAATAAAGAATGTAATTGGAGTGTTTCATAATCGAGGTTTTTTGTACAAAAAATTCATTTAATTATCACGATCTATTGAAGAAATTTTTCTTCATAATTATTTCAATAAATGATTATTATATTATTATGAAATTTAAATAGCTATCTGCAGATACGTTATAAGGACTAACCTCACGCATTATTCTTTTCTGTACCTTCCATCTAATATATGAAATACAACATGATACATTATAAATTAAATACTTTTATCTATACTCTATATGTCCAATTCTAGAGCAGTGTAATAAAGCAGAAAGGTAAGTAATAAAGCTATAGCACGCAACTAACATAATTTGCATTTATATTTGTTAAAATGGTTGCACGCACAAGCGAATAGAAAAAGAGGTTCTGATGCTTCAATTATCCAAAGTTCGACTACCGTAACATGTACTGTATCCAGGCTTTTCTCGAATCACGTGTATATATTACTGATGCTTCTTGTTCAATCAAGTTTATACATTTTACATTTTTTAAGAATAGTATCTTTCAAGTTGAAATTGGACTATGTGATGCATTTAAAGATTGTACTCGCGAGCTTAGTTTGTACTCTTGAACGTGTGCCGTCCATATTCTCATATTACTGCATTGGCATCGAGAAATGAGCGAAGTACAGTTTGTCTCAGGGCTTTTGCTATTACTGTCAGTGATTGCTGCAATATACGTATCACCTACCTAATTTGGACACTTTCATTCTTTAGTTAAAAAACGAGATAAATTTGAAAATTCTATTGAGTTTATTCTTAAATATTCTTATACTTAGCAGTGTGAAATAGAAGACTGTAACAATATTATTATTATACGATATGATTGGTATAAAAAGTCTTTATATTTTAAGTACTTTTTACAAGAAAATCATTATTATTAACACTTTCCAAAATAACATACTATAATTTAATTACAAAGTGATAAAGGAAAAGAATAAATCCTCTTATAACAAATAATTTTTAAACAGTTCCATTAAAAAATACTATTAAATATTCAGTTATATTGAAAAATTAACTTTTACGGGTGACTTTTATTACTATTTTTATACTCTGCAGCGGTAGTCGATTTAATTAATCGAACCGTTCGCGATTCTGATTTTCGCGCGTTAGTTCTAAGTATTGAGAGAGAGAGGGGGCGCGCGATCTTTTAAATTAGCAGTTACGCTTCAGCTGTATTCGAACGAGCATCGCCGATTGTTATTTGCACAGTTTTTCTCGCCGAGTGATAGTTTTCCTGGGACAATTTCGTGCGTGGGTGTAATAGCGATATTATAGCAAGTACGAGGATTCGGAAGCAGTTTGCAGCTGATAAGCAGAGTGAGGCAGCGCAGCCAATTGTTCAAAGGACAGGGGCAGTTGATATTTCGCTGACATCAACAGTTACGGCTGATCACCGTAATTGCACCGCAGGGTAGGTGCACGTCCCTTAATTATCGCGTGACAAAATACATTTAGTATTTTGTTCAACCGTGTTAGCGTTGATATTTTTTGTATTTGCGCCGAGCGTTAGATCGCGCCAATTTTCGTATCTTCTCTCTCTCTCTTTCTCACCGAAAGTTATTTAATTGTAAATCCTATTCGCGTGCGTCAGTCTTTCGGCCCAACAAAGACTGTAGAGATTTTTATTAATAAAATCTATTAAAATTATTCGCCGATTTCGTCATATGATTTTTCCTAGTAGTTTAAACAATTAGAAAAAGCTTAGGTTTTAATCCTATTATAGCTAGGGGATTAAGTGGATTTGGAGTAAAGTCGCTTACACTTGAAACTTATCGTGTGTCACAAGGCACGTGACTTAAGGTGAGTTCAACTCTGCTTGATCGAAGACAACTAAGTTAAGTCAGCTGACGTTAAGGCGAATACACGTATTAACATACGTGTTAACGGAGCGGCGGTTTGCTCTGCATCGTGGGAGTTTGTTCTTGAATAAATTTCTCATTTTTGCAGATTTATCCCCCCGTTACAACTCACATATTTTAAACAAATTTGAACGTGATTTCTTTTGATACTAATTGTATTATTTTAACATATGTAATAAATCTCAGGATAAAAAAATAGCTTTTTCATCATTTATATTTGGTTTATTACTTTACGGCCTGGTTTATGGTACGAGGTCTGTCCGGGAAGTATCGAGTCTACCTTTATATTTTCGTGCTAGCGTTATTCTTTATCATCTGGTGGATGCCATCCTTCAAAGTAATCCCCACTTGATTGATTAACACGGTTCCATCGATGTTTGCACTTTTCAAAACAGTTCTGGAACTCACTTTTAGGGATAGCCTTAAGTACACTCGTCGCATTGTTTTCAACCGTTGTTTTGTCATCGAATCGGTGTCCTTTGAGTGGCTTTTTTGGCATATTCGTGATGTACATTAGGACTGTATGGAAGTTGTCGAAGCAATGCGATATTGTGTTTGCTCAAAAATTGCTGCACAAGATTGGATGAATGCGCTGGCGCATTATCGTGATGGAGAAGCCAGTCACCACTTTCCCAAAAGTGCGGCCGTTTTGCGCGCACGTCGTCTGGTGAATGCAGGTTGTACTAGTGTCGAAGACATCGAAAGATGGTTGACACTGTATTCATTGGCTTTGCGCAAAGCCGATGAGCTTTCTCGATCGCCTAGATTGATATTGTCTGGCAGACAGAAGCTGCAGGCAGCTATGTGCATGATTAGAAGCGTTTTACATCTGCTAATCGAATACAAGAGTAGGCTGTTGGTACATTACTACTACTACTACTACCACGACTACTACTACTACTACTACCACGACTACTACCACGACTACTACTACTACTACTACTACCAGTTCACCGGCTATTGGCAATCCAGCTCAAGACTCAATAAGCAATGTGATATTGTGTGTGCTCAAAAACTGCTGTACAAGATTGGATGAATGCGCTGGCGCATTATGGTGATGGAGAAGCCAGTCACCACTTTCCTAAAAGTGCGGCCGTTTTTTTCTTACTGCATCACGCAAACGTTTCAAAATTTAAACGTAATATTGTTTATTGATTGTCTGACCTATTGGTGCATATTCGTTATGTACAACACCTTCACAATAGAAAAAAACAATCAACATTGACTTAACATTGCTCCGACTTTGACGTGCTTTTTTTGGTCTTGGCGATTCAGAATGCTTCCACTGTGAAGATTGTTGTTTTGTTTCAGGATCATAACCATAAACCCACCATCACCTGTAATAACTTTTCTAAGCACATTATCATCATTATTGACCATTTCCAGATTGTCCAGAACGGTTTCTAAGTGAATGTTCTTCTGCTCTGCTGTGAGTAATTTTGAGATGAATTTCGCACACACGCGTTTCATTCCTAAATTTTCGGTGAAAATTTCTGAAATGATAGTTTTTGGTATCCCACGGTCTTCTTCCAGTTCTCGCACAGTCATACGACGATCTTGTTCGATTGCAAGTTGCACCCGCTCAATATTATCTGCGGTTTTTGTCGTCGAAGGTCGGCCGGAACGAGAATCACTATCGACAAAAGTGCAACCATCCTTGAACCGTTTATACCACTGTTTTATTCGTGTTTTGCTCATACACTCGCTTCCGAAGACCTTTTGCATCATTTCAATAGTTTCCGAACTCGTTTTTCCGAGTTAAAAGCAAAATTTGATGCAAATTCGTTGATCTTGTTTTTCAGTCAGTTTTGACAATATCAAAATCCGACGAACGTGAAAAAGGCACTGTAAACAAAGACACGCTGCGCATGAACTATACGTCCGGCAGGTGTCAGTAAGTAACCAATAGTTTCGTGAGGCTTTACTGTTGACGTTTCTGTCCGGTAGAGGTCGCTCGAACACTATGGCACGAAGATATAAACGTAGGGCCGATACTTTCCGGACAGACCTCGTATTTGGGTATTTGAGGATGGTAGTATAAAAACATGTGAAACATTATTTATATCTTCGATTCTTATGAGAAATATTTTTTATTTTGTTTTATTAAAAAAGAATAATTAAAAGCTGAAATATGAAAAAAGCGGTTTTCGGGTGTAATGGATACCTCGAACCGCCATTTGTGCCTGTTTCTTCCGTCTGCGCGTTATCACCAAACTCTGATAGTGTGTTTGTTTTTCACACAGTAACGCTTGATTTTCTATTTTGGTTAAATTGAAACTACCATTTTGGCCCTTCTCAGTGACCTGGTGAAGAGGAGAGAAGAAGAACGAAGATTCGGAGCGAACGTGTGTTAGCTTTGCTTACACCAGAGCGCGTGAGAGATTACGAAACAGAGAGAGAGAAAGAGAGAAAGAGAGAGAGAGAGAGAGAACGACAGAGAGAATCGTAGCGTTTCGAAGCCGGCCGATATATTATGAGTCGATCGGCAATAGAAAACAACTGGTTATCTTAGCGAGAACATACTGTCACTCACCAAGAAGTTTTTCGAAAGTTCTGGGCGACAATATGCACCAGCAGCAGGACGTTGGCAGCAACAATAGACAGCATCATTCACTGTAGATGACGTTGGCAGTATGCGACGATATCAATAATACTATATTAGCTGTCTAAGTCAAGAGAGTATGCTAAGTCGAAGGTTGTCGATGAATGAGTGTTACTAATCCCTGGAGGCAACGGCGGAGTGGTTAGACGTTTAATGTGTAACTTTTCTTTCTTGTCTGTCTATCTATCTCTCTCTTTCGCACGCGCAAGCGTTCGGATGTGCAACCTGCGTTAGCACGAATCTATATTAGCACGGTGAGCTGTGTAATTTTCGAGGGAATAAGTACGCTTTGGCATGGCGCTGCGGCTTTGCCTTTTCAAGCAAGACGCCTGCATTACGGGCCTTCGTATGGTACGTTGGATTACTATTGCCATCGATTCTTGTAAATTGTATATATAATTTTTCTTGTAAGTGACGCGGAATAAAGTGTAGTTTACTGAAGTGCACGTCTGAATTATTTAATGCACCTTTATCTCAACC